TTCCAGGGAACCCAGTGCCATCTTCTGGCCTCTGTAGCACCAGGCACATACGGTGCATTTATATGCATGCAGGCACAATGGTAATACCCTAAAATAAAAATAACTCTTTTTCAAAATGTCAGGGGAACACATTCATCATGTGTTGGCAGAGGTCATCAGGGCCAGGCCCTATGAGCGGCCATGCTGCAGTCTGACAGCTGAAGCAGACCTGTTTGACCTATGCACTGCTAATCTGAAGCAGGGGTAGGTCATGTGTTGGCTGAAGTTTTCTCCTCTGATCAGACATTAATCTAGGTCTGGATTTCGTGGTAGTTCTTAAAAGTTTTAGGAAAGGGAAGATTAATCAGAGCTAGCCTGGTCCAGGAAAGATAGACCTGAACCAGGAGTCGGGAAGCAAAGAAAGCCTTGCTTTCCCTAGTCCTCTGGTTGGCAGTATGTTACACCTCCGTTTTTATTTATTGTGTGTACGCATATGTGTCTGTGTATATGATGTGAGTACCCACAGAGGCCAGAAGAGGGCAGAAGAGGGCATCAGATCCCCTAAGGCAGGATTTAGGTGGTTGTGAACTTCTGATGTGGGTGATGGGAACTGAACTCTGGTCCTCTAGAAGAGCAGTAAGACCTCTTAATCACTGAACCATCTCTCCAGCCCCCCACATCTCCATTCTTGAGTGTAACTGGGTGATACCCTGGCTTCTTCCTAGATAAGGAAGCTGAGGGCAGAGCCACCTGAAGCAATCCAAAATGTGGTAATGCTTGGCTTTCTCATGTGCTTACAGTCCTTTTGCCAGATGGGTCCTGGGGCACCCTCTGGTGTACTGTGCTTCTTGCTTTTTGTAGCTCTGTATGAATTGCCGACATTTGAGCTTAAGTATCTGTGTGGAAACCTGATCCCCTTGTTTTCAGTGTATTTTGCATTACTGTATCTCTTCTCCAGCTAAAAATAAGCAGGAGCAAGACATGGTAGCCCTTAATTCTCTCTCCAGGGGCTTTTATTTGATGAGAATATCTATGTACTGGAATCCTGAAAACATTCTCACATTGAGATTATGATTTAATGAAATTTATTTTTAGTGTTTAGTTGTTTCAAGCTGTAAGTGAATCTTGAAGACCGTTCTATGAACTTGGAACTCTAAAGTTTCAAGAATTATTACCATGATGGTCCATTTGGCTCTGGTGCTTGCTTGTGTAAGACTGGAAGGAACACAACTCTCTCTTGAACTCCTTATTCACAGTCTTTGTGCACACTGGGCTGTCAGTCTCCTTACATAGTATGCACACTTTGAGACCATTTGTTTCTTAGGCAGAAATCCTCTCATTTAGAAAAGACAGTAATTTTAGGTATGTGGGAAGAAAGCATCCTTGGATTATGTGTTTGTGGTACTTACACCAAATCATAATGACTCTTAATTTGTACTTGAATTTACAGGCTTTGTTGTTGAGCAAAACCCCATTAAATAGGCTCCTATCATACAGCTTGAGTTCTTTTTCACTTTATTTTTTTATGTGTATGATTGTTTTGCCTGCATGTATGTAAGTGTACCCATGTCATACAGTGCCTGTGGAGGCCAGGAGAGGGCATCAGATCCCCTGAAACCAAAACCAGAGTTACAGACAGTTGTTAGTTGTGATACAGGTGCTAGAAACCAAACCCAGGCCCTCTACAAGAACAGCCAGTGCTCTTAACCTCTGAGCCATGTCTCCAGTGCCCCTGCCCCACTTAAAAAAATTATTTTGCAGCTCTGCTTCTTAAAGTGAGTTTTAGTAAGCCAGCTTGGTCATCACCATTTTCTATTTTGCTTTTTATTTTAGAGTTTGTGTTTTATCTTGCACCCTTCCTTGGCCACATTGGTGCCTGTAGAATGGGGTCCATTCGATTATGTCCTGTGCTCTGGGGCGCATGTCCTGCATTTGTCCTCCTGGGGTGATCCGCTCCGTATGGTGATTGTGAGACAAGCTGCTCAGCTGGCCTGGGGGACTTGTCAGGGAGGAAAATGATCTATATCCATGGGTGTTGTAATCCCTGGAGACAGCTCTGGTGAGTTTTTTTCAATGACATACAGACTACTTTTCCCTGAGTTGTCTCCATAGAACGGTAATCTGTGACAGCTGCAGAGACACATGAATTGATTCAGGGCCAGGTTGTGCATCACTGGTCCTCAGAGAGCCATGGTAACCATCAGGAAACCTGACTCTGATGAACAAGTCTCCAGATGTTCTTGTTTTTCATATGGGCACTGTACTTTGGTTTTAAATGAAAAGTGACAGGGTTAATTGTTAATTGATTTTTTTTTTAAGTTTAAAAAAAATTTTTTTAATTTATGTGTCTCTCTGAGTGAATGCCACATGTGTGCAGGTACCCACGGAGGCCAGAGGGTGCTTGGATCCCTTGGAACTGGAGTTACAGGCAGTTCTGAACTGCCTGATGAAGGTGCTGGGAACTGAACCCAGGTCCTTTGGAAGAGCAGCAAGTGCTTTTAACTGCTGAGCCATCTCTCCAGTCCTTGGTTTTGTTTTGTTTTTGTGTTTGTTTTTGTTTTTACCCTCCCTGTTTGGCTTCCTAAGTTAAGATTTCTCCATAGTTTCAAAGTTTTATTTATTTTGTGTGTGTGTGTGCAGTTGTGTGCACATATGTGCACATGTATGGAGGCCAGAGGACAACTTCAAGTGTCGTTCTTCAGGAGCTGTTCACCTTGTTTTGAGACCAGGACTCTCAGTGACCTAGAGCTCACCCTGTAGGGATCCTCCTATCTCTGCCTCCCCAGCTCCCTAGCTCCCCAGTACTGGAATTACAAGTGAACACCACATTTTTTTTTAATTTTTATTTTTTTGGTCTTTTTGAGACAGGGTCTTCCTGTAGCTCCAGCTCACCTGGAACTCACTATGTGGACTTAATCTCACAAATATTTACCTGTCTCTAACTCCTAGGTGCTAGGATTAAAGGCATGTGCCACCATCCCTGACCTTTTTTTTTTTTTTAATGTGGATTCTGGGGATCAAGCTCAGGTCCTCATACTTGCAAGGCGAGCACTTTAGTGACTGAGCCATGTCCTCAGCCTGAGACTCCTATTCCTTTTCAGCAAAAGCTAGTTTTCCAGTTATAAGTTGTTAACTTTGTTCCACTTTCTCCTTATATTTTATCTTTTCATCTGTAAAATGAAGGAAGTTTTGTGTCCTAGAATTACGGTAAGAAATAAGTAAAGGGGAAAGTGTCTGGCACATGTGGGGTGTCCAATAAACTTTCATTCCTACTTTTCCATGCTGCCTTTGCTTCCCTAGGGGATCACCTTTCCATTCTAAGGCTTTTCTAGTCTAGGAGCTAGTGGCTTCTAGGCCTCCACTTAGGGCTCTTTAGGCCTTTGATGCAGTAGCAGCCATGGAGGATGGTGAACATTGGAGATGTGGATAGCCCAGGTTCAAAGGATGTTAATATAAGACACTTGGCTTCAAAGAGTTGGTCCAAAAACAAATGTAAAATCTTACTCATTTTCTTATATTTCCTATCAATTGAAATAGTAATATTTTTATTTATTAGGTTAGATAATGTTCAATATATTTCACCTATTTTGATTTGACTGTGCTTATTGGGTGATTTAAAGAGGGCAAGATCTCAGGAGACAGCTCAGTCAGTAAAATGATTGCCACATAAGCATGAGGACTTGAGTTTAATCCCCAGAAACCAGGTGAAAAATCTAGCACAGTGGTGCACGCTTGTAATCCCAGCACTAGGGATTACTGTAATTATTGTAATCCGAGACAGGAGGACCCCTGGGGCTTCCTGGCTGACCAACCTAGCCAAATCAGTGAGCCCCAAGCCAGTGAGACATTCTGTCTTAAAAACAAGGCTATAGAGGCTGGAGAAATGGTTTAGCAGTTAAGAGCACTGGCTGTTCTTGCAAATGACCCGGGTCTGATTCCTAGCACCCACATGATGGCTAACAAACCATCTGTAACTTCAGTTCCAGGGGAATCTGACACCCTCATCTGACTTGTGTATGCATTGCATGACACAGGTGCACTTACATACATGTAGGCAATACACTCATACACATAAAATAAATAAAATTAAAATAAATAGGCTAGAGAGATGGCACAGTGGTTAAGAGCACTTGTTCCTCTTCCAGAGGACCATAGTTTGGTTCTCAGGACCCATGTGAGGCGACTTACAATCACCTGTAACCCCAGCCTTCTGTAACTCCAGCTCTAGGAGATCCAATGCCCACTTCTGGTCACTGAGGATACTTGCACATATGTGGCATACACCCACTGACTGACACACATGCAGACACACACACACAAATAAATATATACATACATACAATGGGTATTGAGGCATTGATGGGTCCTGAGGCATCCTGTGTCCACACACATGTATACATAGGTACACTGCACATACACAAAATAAAAATTTTTTGAATGTTTAAATAAAAAGTTGCCATTTTGGCAGCAGTGTCACTTTGACAACTTTTAAATGGACTGATTATCATCATTGGTAGCAAACATTCTAACTCTGAGACTTTAAAAATATGCTACGAGGCTAGGTATGGTGGCACACACCTGTAGTCCCAGCATTCAGGAAGCAGAGGCAGGCAGATCTCTGTGAGTTTGAGATCAGCCAGGGCTATAGTGAAATCCTGTCTCAACAAAAACTTTAAATTAATTTAAAAATGTTAGGGATCCATGTGAAGTCAAACTTACTTAGCTTATCTGAACATTAACTTTGAAAACATGAGCCCACCAGTGTTCTTGCGATGCATAATAAGGAAACTACAGAAGTTTTCGAGTTGGTCTGATTGATAACAGTATGAGCAGAATAAATGTGTGACATCCCACAGCTTATGTTTAAGCCTTATGAGCCCCTCTGGCCTTTGAACTGTATGAGTCATGAAACTATGATGTAAGAACGAGTGCACTTTGTCTCAGGTGGGTGGGGACAAGGGCTGGCATGCGAAAAGGAAGTGAAGACCAGTGTGCTCTAAACGTGCTTTTCCCTTCCGCAGATGCTCGTCTCCAACATTGACTTGGGTCCTACTATTTTGGACATTGCTGGCTATGACCTGAATAAGACACAGATGGATGGCATGTCCTTACTGCCCATTCTGGTGAGTATAAGTCCCGTGGCCAATCCTGAACTCTGAAGCAAATTCCAGGTATGTAAACGACCCCCCACCTCAAAAAAAAAAAAGAAAAGGTGTTTACATCTGGAAGGCAGAGAATAGAATTTTTCTCTGACCTTGTGGTGGGAAAGAAGGCGTTTTCTAAGGAAAAGACCTCTTATACCACATGTCAGCTTTAGCCTCCTGTGTCCTCTTTTCCCCTTTCCTCCCAGAAAAGCCACCACGAACAAACAAGACGGTAGCAGGTTGAGAAAATATTTGCAACTTATGTGCAAAAGGGCAGTTGAAGGACCTTTTGAGTAGTTAGAAAGCAGAGGTCAGTATACCAGAAGAAAATAAGCCAGAGAAAATGAATAATCAGCTCACAGAAGTAGAAATGGCCCAGGTTTTTGCAGAAAGATTACTTCAGTGCTGATCAAAGAAATGCTTAACCAAAGGAGGTGTCATCACCTGAAGAACAGTGAAGAACGATCAGAACTCTGTGCTGTAAAAGTGTGAGGAGTTGGAAACTGCTCCTGCACTATTCCCTGAGGTGCAGGTAGGTAACTGCCAGGCTAATCTTCTAACACATGTCAGTTCAGAACAGCCACACTAGTGATTGGACCTGAGCAATTCTAAGGAAGCATCCTTTCCAGCCAGAAGAACCCAAGTGCCTGCTGTGCCTGGACCACCCAGAGCTGTGTATAAATAGCACAACTGCAGCACTGACAGGGAAACTGAAAACCTAAGTGCCCATTGGGGGTTTGGTTCAGCTGTGCTCTGCTCAACTACAAAATGGAAAGCCAGTGCTAAGTGACTCAGATCTGCGTGTGTCTGCAAAGATTTCATCAGTATTGGGCTAGGGATGTAGTGTGTGGTGGAGTGCTTGCCTAGCCTTCACAGAGGAGGGAAGGGAGGCAGGAGATGGAAGGGTGAAAGAAGCGGGGAGTGGGGCGGAGGGGGGGAAAGACACAGACAGGAGGAGGAAGGGAGAAGGGGAAGAAGAGCAAGAAAGGGAGCAGCATTATCTGGATTGCTGCTCCTCCCCATCCCTTCCCTGTCCCTGAGGGTCAATCACCTGGCTAAGCTTCATCCTTGCATTCTCTTGGCCCCCATCACCACCACCACCACCCTCATTTTTTGGTGGTTATGTAGGTTATCCCAAAGACACCTAGTTTTGGTCTTGTTTTGAGCTTTAAAAAATGATAATGTGCTGGACCTATCTGGAGCTTTTTAAAATCTAGCATTTGTTGTTTCCAAGGCGGATCCATGTTGTTCACAGCTACCTAAAATTCCACCACTTAAGTGCATCCTGACTTAGTTGTCTCTCTTTTCAGTCAGTGAGTGTCGTGGTGAGTCCTGCTGCCTCAGCATTCTTGGCCATGTCCCCAGTGAGCCACATACACATCAGGATTTTAGGAACTGCAACAAGCTCGTCTCTGCAAATATTACCCACTGATTTTTAGGATAGTCATGTCAATCTACGCTCCATCAGCTTTATGTGACTCCCCTCTGCTGTGAGTCAACTTGGTATGCTCCAGTCTAGTGAGTGGAAAACAGGATTTGGCCTTAAGTGTGCATTTATATGTTAACAAAGTGAGTCATTTTTTATCAGCTTAATTCATCCTTATACAATTCACTAAAGTGTATAGGTATAGGTCAGTCATTTTTTTATATATTCAGAGTTGTCTAACATCAAATCTAATTCCAGAACATTTTCATCATCCCCAAAAGAAACTTCCAAACACATTCTTAGCCACTCTTCCAGTGCTCCCTCCCCTGCCCCCGGGCAACCTCTAGTTCCCTTTATCCCTGTGCAGTTGTCTGCCCTGGGCACCTCATAAATATTTCCAAGGATCATCTGCACTGTACCATGTAGCTGTGCTTCATTCCTATTATACTGCTGAATACTGTTCTACTTCCTCCCCACTCCCAGGCACAGACTTCTGTTTATCTATTCATCATGTAGATGTGTAGGTTATTTTTACTTTGAGGCTATTTTGAATAATGCTGCTGTAAACATTTGTACACATGTTTTTGTGGATACATGTTTTCAGTTCTCTTCATACTCAAAGTAGAAATTTCTGGGTCATATAGTAACTTTAAGAACCGTCATTGTATATATTTCCACCAGTAGTGTCCAGTGGTTCAAATTTTCCATATCCTTACCAACACTTGATTTTTTGTTTACTTTGTCAGTGGTGTAGTGTGAAGTTCTCACGAGGTCTTCATTCGCATTTCCACAGTGACTATTGATGCTGGATACCTTGCTGTGTGTTTACTGGCCAATCTATGGCATCTTTGAAGAAACATCTTTTCAGAGCCTGTGCCCGTTTTTCAGTTGCATTATTGGTCACGTTTGCCTGTCGTCTTTCTTCCCTGTGAAGTGCTTCTGTATTTTTGTCCATCATACCGTTCCATAGCTCATCATCCCCATGTCAGGATGTGAAGAAACAGGAGTTGGTCATTCCTTTCAATGACCAGTGTTCTTGTTTTTTTTTTTTAATTTGGTGTGGGGTACAGACACGCATGCAGAAGTCAGAAGACAGCCTTCAGGTGTCAGTCCTCAGCTTCGGACTTGTTTGAGATGGCCTGTGTGCAGCTATGTGCCCCGGCATAGCTGGTGCTTGAGCCTCTAGAGGTTCCCTTCTGTTTCCACCTCTTACCTTTCTGTAGGGGATGCTGGGTTTATAGGAGCTAATGCTGCTTGTCCCACTTTTACATGGGTTCTAAGGATCTGAAGTCAGATTGTCAGGCTTGTAGTGAAAGTGCTTTATCCTCTGAGCCATCTCCCCAGCCGCCTTTCTGCCTTATATCTGAAAGTACTCGGAGATGCTGAAGTCGAAGTGCTCTGCTCTTTGTTTTCTTCTGTAGGTTTTATGGTTCTGCCTCTTGTGTTCTGCTCCTTTGTATATCTAGGAATGATTTTCTTTACTGTTTCAGCCAAGGATCCAGTTTCATTTTTTTCTCTGTAGATAATCAGGTGTCTCTTCTGCTCTACAGGTCTTTCCTTGTTCAGTATTATTTTGTCTTCTGTAGCCGTATAACTGAATCTTTAACCCTGTGGACATCCTTCTCTCCTTATTCTAATGGTGACCCTAAGTACCTGTCTTCCATGTAAACTTCAGAATCAGCTTTTTAGATTACCTGCAAAATGCTGGACTTTTGGCTGGAATTGCATTAAATCTATAGATCAGTTTGGGAGAAATTGATATCTTTCATACAAGTCTTATACTGTGTGGCATAGAATCTAATGAGAAAAAAAGACAATTCTAAGGTAAAAGTCATGGGACTGTGTACAGGTCATTTCTCTGCACAGTTCTGAAAGTGCTACCTAACAGTTCCTTTTGTTGTACTGTTTTTGAGGTTACTGTTATGAACAACTTAATGTTAGGCCAGCTGGATAGTCACATACAGCTTTTTAAATGATCAGTAAAGAGTTCAGTTCCTCCATTGCATTAGCCTCATCCCTCATCCCATGGGCTGTGCCAGACCCAAAGCTGGCACACCACAACCTCAGGAGCAAATCTACCCCAACCCTGGCTTTGAGGGTGAGGTTAAATTGGAACACAGTCTCACTCATTCATGTAGCCTGGGACTGTTGTGCTGAGCAGATGTTACAGATCTTGTAGTCACAGATCCTGAATAAACATATATGACCTTTTTCAGAAAAGGTCAGATTTTTAGATTTATTTGTTTTAAAGATTTTATGTATATGAGTGTGTGTATGTGTATGTATGTCACATGTGTTTGGTGCCTGTGGAGGGCAGAAAACGGCATCAGATCCCCTGGAGCTGAAGTTAGAGGTGGTTGTCAGCAGCCCAGCCTGGGTGCCAGGAACTGAACTCAAGTCCTTGGGAAGCAGAAAGTGCTCTTGACCACTGAGCTATATCTCTGGTCCATTTTGTTGTTGTTGTTTGTTTTAATTTCACCCACATAAGTGCTCGGTGGGCATGACAGCTTGCCTATAATTCCAGAGTTCAGAAGGCAGAGGTAGGATCCCCAGAGCAAGCTAGTTAGCTAGGCTAGTTATATAGGTGTACTCTGACTTCACCTGAGAGACCCTGTCTTAATGAATAATGTGGAGAGCAATCAAGGAAGATTCCCGACATCAACCTCAGGCCTCCACATGTACTTGTGTACATGTGCACACTACACACATACACATGCAAAAATAAAAATTGCTAATTAACATAACCAGTGTGGTGGTGCACACCTTTAATCCCAGCACTTGGGAGGCAGAGGCAGGCGGATCTCTGAGTTCAAGGCCAGCCTCATCTACATAGTGAGTTCCAGCCCAGCTGAGACTTCAGGGAGACCCTGTCTCAAAAAGACAAAAAATATATATAATAATAAAATAATTACTAATTAATAAAAGATGTCAGCAGACTGCTTTGTTATTATACACAAAAGTAAGACAGCCTGCGGCTAAATGGATGCCCACAGTGTCCACAGGTCTTGTCTCAGGGCATGCCCCAAGTCCTGCCTCACAGGGCGCACCCCCAGCCACAGCCTCCATGCCAGGCAAGGAACATCAGGAGTACGCAGTTGTTCTCTTTACAAACTGTAGATAAGCAAAATTGAGAACTCAAATTTCTAGCTAATAACTACAGAATCGATACAGCTTTACAAGCTAAAAATCAAATGGCAGAAACCTCTTCAGATGCTTTGTCATATTAACAGCTCAGAACAGAGACCATGAAAGCTCTTCATTTTTAAAATGTCTAGCTGTACAACATCCATAGTTTTCAGGTACTCAGACACCCATGGCCATTTCAGCACTGACTCTCAGAGAGACTGAGGTTTAGTCATGATCAAGTTTTATAATTAAAGACAATGAGGTCAATAGACATGACTCCAAAATGAAATGATGTGAAAAAGCAGGGTGCTCCCCTATTCTGTGATACTCACCAGGAAGCAGATAAAGCTTTTCTGCCCCTCCCCCCTTGTCTTCCTCTTCTGCTTTTCTCTGGGCAGCTTTAGTGGCACTGTTCGTACCATCAGACTTTCCTTCCATCCTTCTCCAGCTTTACCACCTCAGTGGCGACAGCTCTTCTTGCTGTCACTTGTTAGTCCACATCTCACCCAGCTTTCCCACCACATCTCAGCAGAGGTCTGGGGATGGTGGAATTACTTTGGGGCAGAAGTCTGAGGGGAATGGGAAAACTCTAGGTGGTAGTCTTTCAGGGGCATGGAGTCCTCGCTTACCTCCCTCAGCCGGTGCACCATCCTCCAAAGTGTCCTTCATCTGCCTTCACCATTTCATCAGAGTTAAATAGCTCTTTGCCAGATGTGATCCTCTAGTCTTTGAGCATTTCTTAGAAAATTCTGTAAATGGCAGGGACTTCTGGGGCTTTTCTTACATTCTTTCCTGTGTGCCTGCACAAAGAAGGCATAAGCAGGCATCTTTGATTTCTCAGTCACCTTGAGCCATCCTGACTTTCCTATCCTGGGCAGCTCAGGGCACAACTCTCCAGCTGCACAATTGCTGCCTCTACTAGGGTCCTAGGAAAACCTTACAGGCTCTTCACAACATGAGTCTCAAACTTGGTTCCCCGTTAGAATCACCTGGGAGACAAAATACTAATGCTGGATCCCCCTTCACCCCAGAGATTCTGATGTAATTGGTGTGAGCTATAACCTGATCCAGGTGGGCTTTCAAGCTCCCCTGCTGATTTTTTATTTATTTTTATTGTTGAGACAGGGTCTCCCTGTACCCCCAGCTAGCCTGAAACTCCCTATGTAGATCAGGCTGGCCTCAATCTCACAGAGCTACGTCTGCCTCTGTCTCTCAAGTGCTGGAATTAAAGGCGTGCACCACCATGCCCTACTGATTTTTAATATGTTTTAGCACCATTTTTCTAGACTTTACAGATACTGTTTTCTGCCTCTGGACACTTGACACTCTGTGTATGGGACTGTGCAGTTCACGATGCATGACAGATGAACTCTCCCTGACTTGTAGCTTCTAGGAGTCAGGATTGGCAGCATGAGCTGAGGTGGCACTTCTGAAGTCTCCAGTGACTCAGAATGTGAGACCTGGAACTGCTCAGTAGTGTTCGGGTTTTCTTGTGTAACAAACAGTGAGTTAAATACTCCCTGCCTCCCCTTTGTTGGCATTCAAGGCGTTGCACAGCTAGCACCCATCCCTGACTCTGTTCCCCCAGCTTCAGTGTTCTGTATTGAAGTGGTTCTCAAACTGACATTCACCAGAGATACCTGTGGGCTTGCTTGCTCTCCACCTACATTAGGAGCTAAGGACTTGTGTTTGTCACAAGTTCCCAGTCAATGGTGACACTGTTTGTCCCAGAACCACACTTTGAGACCCAGGCTCTGTGGCAATGCTGCTGTTGCTTATATGTAGATGTCGCCTGGGAGGGAGCTTATTAAAATAAAGATTTTGGCTCATCAGGACTAGTGTAAGGAGTTAACTGTGTAGCCCAGTGGTAGAGCACTTGCCTAGCATGTGTGAAACCCTGGGTTCAGCCCCCAGCACCAGTGAGAGCTAGAGTAGGGCTTGGGATAGTACATTTTGAACAAGCTGCCACCCAGCCACTAAGGAGGAAGGGGTTAGACCACATTAATAGTGCCTTCTAACATGGCCTGATGCAGCCATTTGTGGTTTATGGTTCCATCTCTAGATTCTGCTCCTGGGCTGACTTCTGAAGCACGGGCTTGTATGCCCTAACCTGGCTCAGAAACCTCTAGTTATTCCCATCACCCAGAGATTGGGGCTCACTGTGTTGCCCAGGTTGGCCTCAAACTGGGCTCAGTTGTTCCCTGTGCTCAGCCTCCCAAGAAGCTGGTGCTCCAGGCGTGTCCACTGCACTCTGCCGGCCTGTGCTCAGGGCCTCTCAGTGTTTGGGCCTCTCTGTCCACCCCAACCTGGTGCTGCTTCCTCTGACGCCGGCTTTCGTGAACCCACGCTGCCGTGTGCTCTGCTTTCATCCTGTATTCATCGATTTTTATCCAAACTTGGCCTTGTTCTACCTTCCTCCGAGTTTCTCCCATTGTACACCTGTCTTAAGTTTTTGCATTTCAAGTGCTGCTGCCTCTTTTCGTCCACAATAAAGAGCAAAGGCCATGGCTGGAGTGTATGTTCATCTCCAGCTGCTCAGTCTGTGACATTCCTCAGCACGCCAGCACCACTTATGTTTTTCTCTCATCCTTGTACATATCAGATTAGACATTCTTTAACATAGGCCAGAATGATTCTCACCTAGTGTACGAATGGCTTTTTTCACTCTAACCTTGACTTTGAGCAGCTTGGTTTCCATTTTTGGCTTGCTTCACAGAACTCTAAAATGGTCAAAGCATTTGGCCATCACTTTAAAGACTATAGACACTAAACATCATCAGTAGCTTTCATGCGCATGCATTCTGGTCATTGCCTTTTTATACTGAGTGAGCAAGCACTTAGGTAGTAGAGTAAAAACTGATCTTTGGCATATTAATCTGTATATCTCACAGAAACCCTTTGTTTTTTTTTCTAGAAAGGGGCAAGTAACTTCACATGGCGATCAGATGTCCTGGTGGAGTACCAGGGAGAAGGCCGCAATGTCACAGACCCAACCTGCCCTTCGCTGAGCCCTGGAGTGTCGGTGAGCAGCAGCTCGTCTTGCCTTAGGTGGCTTTCTCACAGCGCAGCAGGGGCTGTACAGACACCTCAGTGTTGAGAACCCTGGGTACTGCCGCTCGATCATCCACCCATCAGTAGAATGTGCCCACACTCTTATTTTACCAGTCAGTTCTCCTTGTCTTCTCACCTTTCCTACGGGGTTTTGTTTTTTTTTTTTTAAAACTAAGGATACTATGAGTGGAACAGTGGAGAGATGGGGTTTGCCCCTATGACTGCCATCACAGGTGCCTTGTCCTGGTGGCAGCCAGACAGGTCATGAAGGTGGTAACAACCACAATGTCCTGGCTTTGGAGAATAGGAAATAGGTTTCCACTTGGGGTTACAAGTAAAGGGCCAACCTGTGTGGACCAGCAGAGCCTGTGGAAGACATGACGTTGGAATTTGGTCTTATGTGGTGAAGAGGCCACCTACAGGCCATGCCACAAAGCTCCCCTTGGGGGTTTCCTCTCACAGAATGATAGTTCTAGATAGTCCTTTGAAGTGACTCACTTGATAATGATTTTTTTTTCCTTATTTCTGTCATATCCCATGTCTGGCTTCAGCCAACTTGTCTACCTCTGTAGGCAACTGAGTTTTTGTTACCATGGAAGAGCAATCTTCATCTAACTTTTAAAATATTCCTTCAGCAATGTTTCCCAGACTGTGTGTGTGAAGATGCTTATAACAACACCTATGCTTGTGTGAGGACATTGTCATCACTGTGGAATTTACAGTACTGTGAGTTTGATGACCAGGAGGTAAGGTGGACTTATGCCTGTACCTCTTCCCCTCTGCTCCCTGTCTATTGCCAGTGTGGGGTGGGCTTGGTGGCACAGGAGCCCAGAGTGGTACCCAGGGAAGAGAAGTGTCTTTTCTGCATATCCCCCAAGGTTTATATTTTGGAAGATGGAGTTTTATAAAGCCAGGCTTTGATGTTCTAAATGGAGTTTTCTCTACTCACCACCCCACCTAGACACATACTTTTTCAGAATGACAAATGTTTGACTGTGGGTGTCTCTGGTAACTGGGATAAAAATGAGGCATTTCAGCCTTTACAGAGGTGAGAGGAACTGGGGCATTTCCCCACCAGCTGACCAGCATGTAACTTACTCAGAAATACTCTGTGCCCACATAGCACAATCCAGTGCTGCTTGGTGAATTAGAGTGGGGGGGGGTGGCAAAGGGCCAGTTTTTGGAAGAAGGTAGGGTTTGGGCTGCAATGAGTGTGAGTCACTGAAGGATCCTGTGGACGCCAGTCCCTTGCGACCTCACACTGTTGATCAGTATGTGCTCACCTTGCCATCGGGCCGCCCTCAGCTTACTGAATGGAGCAGATGCTTGTGCTCCTTAGAAATTGACTTACTTTTCCATTTGCAGCTCAGAAGCACATTGGGAAAACGAGAGCTTCCCTCAAGCTGAGCTGTTCCTTCCCCTATGCTTATCTGTTTGATAACTGACAGTCTGAGGGCAGCTATTTAAGCCATTAGACGCATCATCTGCCTGCAACTGTCCTGGCCTGTCATTTGAGTCCTGTTTTGGGAACATTGTACTGATAATTAGACATGTCTAGTATCAGTACTTTCCCCTCTAATGTAAGAAATAACAATACTGTAGTCTTCCCCAGTTGGTGCGAAACATCCCAAACCACTTTTTAAAATAGGAAAATGTTTGTGTAACAGAAATTAGAGTACCTCTCACATCTATCCTCACTCGAATCTCACAGCTCTGAGGCACACACAGCTTTGCAGTGTTCCTCTTACTTGAGTAGCTGCTTTACCTTCTTGGTCCAGACCTTGCCATTGAGGGCTTTCCTGCCTTATACTCTGCTTTAATTATAGAGGGTCATAAGTTTCCCTCCTGAAGACATGGTAGGCAAACAGCCTTTTTCCAGCCTGAGACTGTAGATCCAAAGCAGGCAAACCCCAGCACAGATACTCTGTAGCTGGCTCTTTAGACCACACAGTGGGTGGGCCTTGGTTTTTCACCCACTTTGTCCATTTAGAAATTATTTGCATTAGGAGAATTTCTTCAAGGTAACCCCTGCTATTTTTCTTTCTTCCCTCCATTTTTTTTCCTCTAGGTGTTTGTAGAAGTCTATAACATGACTGCAGACCCAGACCAAATCACCAACATTGCTAAAAGTATAGACCCAGAGCTTTTAGGAAAAATGAACTATCGGTTGATGATGTTGCAGTCCTGTTCTGGGCCATCCTGTCGGACTCCAGGGGTTTTTGACCCCGGGTAAGTCTTCAGTTACTTTGCCAAGTTGTGTCCAGCGGTCAGGCCGTTCTGGAAGACAAAGGGCACTTAATGGCTCCTTTCTGCTTTGAGCTGTGTTTATTCTGCTTTGGCAGGGGAATGCTGTGTTCTTGCTGTGTCAGCCTGTTGTGCTGGGAAAATGAGCTGCTTAGAACTCTGGTCCACTTTTGCCAGTGGTATGGTAGCTGCAGACTCAGACCTGCTTCCCTGTCTCTGGGCTGTACTTGGTTACACTGGTCAGCTCTGACCCAATACTCTCCTACTCTTAGAGCTTCTAAGGACATACCCCTTCAAGAGAAACCCATAGTATAGAAACTTGAGTGCTTGCCTCCAAGTTTTATGGATTTAAACAGCCACGAAAAAAGGTATAAACTCAATGCTAAAATGTAAACCCACTGAAGTATGTGGGGGTGTAAAATATGTTTCTTACCTGCCAAGTCAGATGTATGCCTCCCTCTCTGGGACCCCCTTCTACAGTACTACAGTACTACCCCCTTCTACAGTCCATAGGACACTGGCTGTCAGTGCCCATGCATTCAAACTACTTTGGCAAGAAGTTATGACATGACCTTATGCTTGAAGATGATGAAGATCAAATCAGTCCATCACTGAAAAAGGACTATTTTAGTTCTTAACAGAGATAGGGGAGAAAGGGGAGGTACTGTTCTAAGCTGACAGTAAGATATAACCTATTCAACTGTCTTCACATTAAATTTGATCTGCATTCCAAATTAGAGATGAATGTATGTGAATGAATAGAGAAAATGGATTGTAGATTATTAAGTAATACACACACAATGAGAAACACAGACTCCAATAGGTTAAAACCAGACAGCAGTACTGATGTAGCTCTGGTAGAGCACTCACCTATAGTTTGTGCTGCAAAAACAACAAATTTTAAATTTTTTTTAATTTTTATTTTATGTGTATGCGTGTATTGCCTGCATATAGGTAAGTGCACCCGAGTCGTGCAATGCCTGCAGAGGACAGAAGAGGTTGTCAGATCCCTTGGAACTGGAGTTTGGACAGTTGTTAGCTGCCATGTGGGTGCTGGGATTCGAACCCAGGTCTTCTGCAAGAATGGCCAGTGTTCTTAACCTCTGAGCCATCTCTCCAGCCCTGAAAAAAAACAAATTTTATATAGCTCAATAGCAGTATAAAAAGGCAATGTTTATAATTTTATATACCTTAAGCCAAATAACTTTCTTGTATTAGCATAATGAGATTAGTCAAGCATTTTGACTGCCTACCTTTGACCTTCCTTCTGTGAAATAAATTGATCTCAAAAGCATAGCCTTCAGCTCATACATGCTGATTTTGGAGTTTCTAGCAGCTACTTAGCTTACAATGTTGTATCAAATGAAATCTAGTTGAATGTGTATAGCAACTGATGCCTTTAACCATAAACTAACTGGCTCTGGGAATTTCAAGCCAACATCTAACTAAGCCCTTGATTGGTAGTTAAAGGGACTTGAATCTCTGGGATTATGTATATGTCTGACCACTCTGATGCTGGAGCACAGACCTGTTACATCATGTGGCCAGTCAAAGCAGGGCAGCTGTGAGAGCGATCTTGTTTCTTCTGAGCATCTGGATTCAGTTGTAGGCTTTCCAGGCAGCCCCAAACAGGTAAATTTCAAATCAGGAAATGGATGAGACATCTGATTTGCCCAAGGTCTATGTTTTATTTCCCAAGTACATTTTGTTTAGCCTATAACAGTCTTGCCTTCCAGCAGCTTATATAATAAAGGAGATGCTGGTTTTGTGTGCTCTTGTTAGCCCGAGGTATGTAAACATCAACTGACTTTGTTTTGAATTTATCCGCCCTGGTTATTCTTTCCTACCAAATATTTGGCCTTATAGAATCCCCTAAAATGGGGTCATCAGACTGGATCCTGCAGGCCCAGCCTGTTGGTCCACAGCCACACATACTCATTTACACATTATCTATGGCTGTTTTGCACTTAATAAACTAGAATGGCTGAGACAGAGACTGTAGCCCACAATCCCTAACATATTATCAGACTCTTTATAAACCATCACTCTAAAATAATGCTAAGAGTTTAGCCCACAAGCAAGCACAAGTGTAAAGTGCAGGGTATTTCTGGCCAGCACACCTAAAGTCCATTTCTGGCCAGTCTGTATTCTTTACCTCCACCAAGTCTCAACTCTGTTCCCATTGAGCATTCACTATGAGGTGCCATATACTTTACATGAATGCCTCACTATTTTATCGATAACCAGAAAAATAATGGAATTGTCCACATTCATAATGAGCCAGATTCAAGTGCACACATCTGAGGTGCATGTGTGTGCTTGCCTGCCATCATCTGTAAAAGAGGATGAGGCCTTCAAAACTGCTGGTAGAGCTTTGAGTGAGGGCCAGACTCTCTGGCTGCTTTATTCCTTAGGAATCATCCCTTTTCCCTCAAAAAAAAAAAAAAAAAAAAGCCCCCCTCATACCTTCACAGCTAGCCTTGTTTTTCTCTCAGCTTACAATGCAGGTGTCCCTAACAGGGGACAGGCTTGTGTAGGAAATACCCCCATCTACTGAATCCATGTTTTCTACTCACTTCCCTACTGGGCTCCCTTCTGGTGATTCCTCTTGTATCCCCTCTTGCCAACTTTCCACTGGAGAGTACTCTATTGAGGTCTCTGTAGCTAGCTGGAATTCATGAAAGAGCCTTCTCTCTTCATCCCCCAGATATAGGTTTGACCTGCGTCTCATGTTCAGCAATCACGGCAGCATCAGGACACGAAGATTCTCAAAGCATCCTCTGTAGTGACTTGCCCAGCCTCTGCAGTTGGATCTCTGCACGCCTCTTTCTGATGAAGTGATTGTAGTAGGTGTCTGTAGCTGATTGAGACCATGCCTGGAAGGGCCCTGGACTGGCTTTAAGTCCTGTTTAAAAAGCAACCCAGTCAGCTGACTTCTCATACGTGTTCAACTGTGAATCTGCCCCTGTGTCAGGAATGGCTGACCCTGGTCTCTTCCCTCAGATGACAATGAACACTCCTGAGGTGTTTGTCCTCACCGTGTCCCTTCATCCTAAGGGGCCACAGTGTGGTCCAAGTCTGAATTTGTAAACCCTTTCAAGTAAATGGCAATACTTTCAGGCAGAAAGAAGAAGAAAACCTTTTGGTACATAGCTAAACCTAAAATCCAAAGCCCTGTACAGCATTTCAGACTGAACCCCTCACCATCAAAAATATCACATGCCATGAGTAACCATCACAGCTGAATTATCTGATTAAAACAAGAGCCACTGTTTTTAGAAAAGTAAAGAAATATTGTTTAGAATATCCATCACAGTGTGGCAGATTTGGAACATGTCACCCAAGCTCTGCTTGATTTCTGCAGAATCTTGGGCTGCCGCTGCACCGAAAGAGCAGCAAGCTGTGGTGAAGGCAAATTCTCAGCCCTGAAGGTAAAAGGTAACAGCCGTCTGCTGTCCAGTGGTTGCCAACTACAGGGAGTACTGGGCAACACTAGCAGCGGGGGGCATGGCCTCCAAGGGGTGGGGAAGGCTGTTTCAGGTAGAGAGGGCTCTTGGGTTGGCACATTGAAGGGCTGCACCAGAATGAAGGAAGTGCCTGTCCCTGAGGGAGCCTGTGTATCAGTGCCATGAACGAAGTTGTTCTGACTGGCTGCCATTAGCTGCTAGTCTCTTCATTTGTTTTATGGTATCACAGTGTCTTACAGTTAGTATGAAGTACCTGCCAGCCACTGTATCCCACTGTCTTCCTACCTTCACATAAGTTTTTGAGTTTTCAGAGTCTTGAATAGGGCTCCAGTTAGTGTTCCCCTAGCAAAGTCAGAACTGCCTAAAATGTCCACATTCTTACGTTCTTTAGCGTGAAGACCAACTCTACTTTCTAACATTTCCACAAAAAGACTGATTGGTGGTGGGACAGCAGGGGAGAAGGAAGAGCTATGGTTTTAACCTGTTCAACTCAGGCAATAAGTGATTTTAGCTTTACAAGTACTTCTGTCCAGCTTTAAGCACTTTGTAAGACATAGTCATAAGTCACTTTCAGAATTCCAGACAGCCATGTTGGGTTAATAGCCATTGTGTTTATTCCTTTACCTCCTGTGACACCAGCAATTATAGATATCCAGAGAAGAGGCAATGAAATGGGCACCTGTGCTTTAGAAGAAAAAGTGTAAAAAAAAAAATTAAAAGCAAATTACAAAGTTGAATATGGCTAGAGGCTTTATTCTCCACATTGATTCTAAATATTGTCAGTCAACTTCAACATTAGTGAAAGCTGACCAGAGTTGTTCACAAATAAATTGAAACCAACTCATATCAGGTCTTGGACCTATTCAGTTTTATGATGCTACTGCTGAAAGCAGGTGATGTCAGAAGAGTGACACAGGTCAACTGCCACTAGTGTCTCAACCTCATCCTCATGTTCAGCTGACATGTTTGGGTGGTGGAATGTGGTAAGGGCATGACTGTACCTCTTAGTTATGGTACCTTTCCTAATATTTGAGGAGACCTTGGTTTACATCCTAACAGACTATGAAACAGTTTCTTGACTGTACACAGGACCCATTGAAGGAGGCTGGTCCTGTTCTTTGTTTAATTGTGCTGATTTGGATTTTGATTCTTTACCTTTGAAGGAGGTTAGGTCTATGTTTTTTTGGTGACCTTCAGCATAGAGGACCATAAAACCAACTTGGAATGAGGGATTTTGCCTTAAAAGATTTCCTGTTTTAAAGCTCTTCCTCGAATACAATTTCAAAATAGGGAACACATTTTTAGCATCTTTGAATCTCACAAATGGTGCTGTTGCAAACATCTTTTGAATTGGCAACACTAGAGTTTCTGTATAAAACAGTAAGGTGTAATCTTCATAGCTATCCTTAATCTGTGAGAAATAGTCTTAAATTTAGGAGTATCTAAGGACTAGCGCTTTTTTTAATGAAAGAGAAGGTGGCCCAGGATCCTTCAGAGAAAGCAAAAGGTATCTTAAATCATCCACCAGTGGGATTAGGTAGGTATATTTTGGGTTCTTTAACTTACCACTTCATGTCAATGGATTTTGTAAATTCTTTTGTTAGCATTACTTGTTGTAGATGTTATTCTGCCCTGGCTCTGTGTCATCTCAGTCATTCACTTAGAAAGTGCCCTTCAACGGACCCTGTTCACTGCTGCACTTTTCAATGAATTAAAATTTATTTCTGTTCTAGTGGGAATGTGTCCTTTGTTTTAGTTCACAAGTAGCAATTTTCACAAGGTACAAAATTCTGGCTGCTTCATGGGTTTCTCTGATGGTTTAGTGGTGCTGGGTATAAACCAGGGCTAGCATATTAATAGGTAAGCAGTGCCCCACTGAGATATACCTTAGCCTGCTGTTTAATGTTTTGATCACCCACATAGTAGTGAAAAGGGACCATTTCCTCATCCGATTCTAGTCTCCACCTGGGAAGCTCTTATATACATGGTCCCTGCTGATAACTCCAAGTGACACACCATGTAGAAAAGCCTGCTGAGAAATCATTCCTTTATAGCTTCCTTGGCCAGCTTTTAAGTGGATAGATTAACTCACCTTTGAAGGTGCTTTGCTGTGATGCCTAGGTGTTTGATCTATTTCCTGTAATAAAAAAGGACTTCTTGCAAGAGTCTCAAACTTTCTTAAAAGGATAAACACCTAATATGGCTTACAGGTCATATAGCCTCTGATGTAACATCAAAGTAGCCCCTGAGAACTGGGGATGCAGCTCGGTAGGTAGAAGGCCTGCCCCACAAACACGAAGCCCTGGGTTCCATCCCCACTATCACAGAAAATAGGTGTAGTGATGCACGCCTGTAATCTCAACACCCCGAGGTAGATGCAAGAGATCAGAAATTCAAGGTCATCCTCAGCTACATAGCAAGTGTGAGGCCTGGAATACATGAAACTGTCTCTAAGAAAAGTAATACCTGACAGTATGTAAATGACTATGTGTGACTCTGTTCCAATTTATAAAAACATAGGCCACAAATTGCCAACCCCAGAAATAGCAGGGTGCCTCATAGACCAGCTAGATAGTTAGACATTCGAAAGTTGCCAGATTACTGTCTGAAAAAGCTAATTTGGGGGCTGGAGAGATGGCTCAGCAGCTAATAGCACATAGTGCTCTTTCAGAGGACCAGAGTTTGGTTCCCAGTACCCAACCCATGTCAGGCAGTTCAGAACCATCTGAAACTCCACCTCCAGGTGATCTGATACCCTTTCCTGGCCTTTGTAAGCCCCTGCATCCACATGCACAAACCCCCAATTTATGCAATTTAAAAATCTTAAAATTTGGGTATATCATACTGTCAGGTCACTTATAAGGGTCTGGCATTTGAGTTTATTCTCGTAAGCTAACTAGTTAGCCTGTTCCCATTTCATGAGTTATGCAACTCCTGAGTTACAGACAGAAGACTGTCAGTCTAGCAAGCAGCAGGAGCCTGGCGGACACTCTTGCCTCTCCCCCTAGGTCCCAGGAGGTGTCCAGCAAAGTCCCACATTGACACCTGCACACATGGTGAGTTTTATTGTAGGAGAGGAGCATGCTGTTTTATAGCAAGCCTGCTCTTTGCCCCAGAGAAAGACGTTACCTCATCCCTCTAAGTTGCTCACTGCAAACAGTCCTGAGAAGTGGCTGCATACATGGCCTTCAGGGCCATGCAGTCCTGGGATACCTACAAGAATGTACAGCGATCCTTGGGCCCATATTAGACTCTTTCCCAACAACTCTCTGACATGTTAATAGATGATTTCTCAGCTGGCTAATAGCAGGGGTCACCTAGTTGGCTGCATCCCCTGTTCCATCTAAGAGCCTGGAAAGCCAGTGCAGACCAAGAGCAACTGTGATGAGATCAGATGAGTTGCTTTTTAACTCTATTTAAGGCAAAGCCTGTGTGTAGAGTAAGTCATGAAGATGAGCACTGGCCTTTTATTTACCATTTCAATATATCTTAATTTGTGTGTGTGTGTGTTGTGTGCATACCATTGTGGGCTACAGTGTACATGTGGAGGTCAGAGGACAACTTGGGAAAGTTGGTTCTCTCCTTCCACCATGTGGGTACTGGGGATTGAACTCAGATCCTTAGGCCTGGCAGCAAGCATCTTTACTTGCTGAGCCATCTTGTCAGCCTGAGCACTGGTCTTTTAGATTTCCACACAGAAGATACCAAAGCCTTAAATTGATGATTAGGGAAAGGGTAACAGCTTAAATGCTTGGGTCCAACTTACTTTTGAGGGCTACCTAGTCCTAAATAGCAGATAAAAAAATGAAGGTAGAGTCCGTGATCACTAACCACTTAGTAAAAAATGAATAGGGGAAAACACTCAAAATCCTCCTTTAAGAAATAGGAAATTGGGGCTGGAGAGATGGCTTAGCGGTTAAGAGCACTAACTTCTCTTGCAGAGGACTTGGGTTCAATTCCCAGCACCCACATGGCAGCTAACAACTGTCCATAACTCCAGTTCCAGGGGATCTGACACTCTCTTCTGACTTCTGTGGGCATTGCAGGACATGGGTGCACTTACACACATGCAGGCAATACATGTAAAAACAAAATATCTTTAAAAAAGAAATAGAAATTGGGGGTGGAGAGATGGCTCAGTGGTTAAGAGCACTGCTCTTGCAGAGGACCCAGGTTTGATTCCCACACCCACATGGCAGCTAACAACCATCCATGATTCCAGTTCCAGAGGAATCTGACACCCTCTTCTGACCTCCATGGGCATTACACAAGATGGGTTCACTTACATACATTCAGGCAAAACATACACATAAAAAAGGGCTAGAGAAATGATTCAGTGATTAAGAGTACTGGCTTTTCTTGCAGAGGGCCTGGGTTTGATTCCCGGCATCCACATAGCGGCTAACAACCATCTTTAACTCCAGTTCCAGAGGAATCTGACACCCTCTTCTGACCTCCGAAGGCACTGCACAATACAGGTGCACTTACCTACATGCAGGCAATACACACACATAAATGTAAATAAGATTTAAAATAATAAAATGGGGGCTGAGAGATGGCTCAGCAGTTAAGAACACTTGCAGAAGACCTGGGTTAGAATCCCAGCACTCACGCGGCAGCTAACAACTGTCCGTAACTCCAGTTCCAGGGGATCCGAGAGCCTCTTCTGTCCTCCGTGGGCGTTGCACAACACGGGTGCACTTACCTACATGCAGGCAATACATGCATACACATAAAATAGCCGGGCGTGGTGGCACACGCCTTTAGGAGGAAGAGGCAGGTGGATTGCTGTGAGTTCAAGGCCAGCCTGGCCTACATAGTGAGTTCAGGTCAACTGGGACTACAGAGAGACTCTGTCTCAAAAAGACTAAAATAAAATAAAAATAAAATATTTTAAAATAATAATAAAATGGCTGGAGAGATGGTTCATCAGTTAAGGACACTGGTGTTTGCAGAAGACCCGGGTTTGAATCCCAGCACCCATATGGCAGCTAACAACTGTCTGTAACTCCAGTTCTAAGGATCCAACAGCCTCTTCTGTCCTCTGCAGGCATTACACGACATGGGTGCACTTACCTACACACAGGCAATACATGCATACACATAAAAATAATAAAATATTTTTAAAAAAACAAAATGTTAAAAAAATATATAGGAAATTTAGTTCTATCCCATTGTCAAGCCAACAGCCAGGTGGAGAATGCTTATAGATTTACAAGAAGGGTAAATACAGGCTTTACTGGATAAAAGCTAACTTAGCTCACCCATTTCCACTCAGATCCTATAAAGCCAAATTCCCTAGAGTGCATCTTTGTTTCACCTCCTTTCTCTCCCCGTCGATTTATTTTTTATTTTTATTTTTATTTTATGTGTATGAGTGTTACACCTGCATGGATATAAGTGCACCTGTGTGCACTTGGGGTGCCCATGGAGGACAGAAAAAGGTGTTGGATCCCCTGGAACTGGAGTTACAGACAGTTGTTAGCCGCCATGTGGGTGCTGGGAACTGAACCCCAGTCCTCTGCAAGAGCAGTCAGTGCTCTTAACCATTGAGCCATCTCTCCAGCCCCTCCTCCTGTAGATTTAAAAGGTCGGCCAAATATATGCATTGAAAGCTGAACCAACCAGAGAACCACAGGACCCAAGCTTGAAAATCCTGTTGAGATCTTGTCTCGTAGCCTAGAATCACTATGTAAGGCAAGATGAAGAAGTGGGGCCAGGTGTGGCACCGCGCATCCATTATTCTAGTGCTCGGGAAGGCCTGTTCAAAGTCAGTCTTGGCTACAATCTGCACCCTATCTCAAAAAGCAGACAAAAGAGCTGGGAGATTACCTGGTGGATAAAGTTCAAGTGTGAGCATGAGGGTTTGGATCCCTAGTAGCCCCATCAGTGCTGGGTCAGTGTGGTGGCCCAGCTGTAATTCTAGCAGAGAGGATCCCCAGGACAAGCTGGCTAGCTAGACTAGCCAAGTCAGCGAACTGGGTTCAATTGAGACGCTGCTTCAATGAATAAGGTGAAGAGCAATGGGTGAAAACTCGCAGCATCAGCCTTGGGCCTCCACATGCATGTTTAGCATGTGTATATGCACATGTGCACACATACCCACACACATGCAAACATATGCTTACCACACAAACACATGACAAAGGTTGTAGGACACAAGATCACGTTCTTAACTGTACGATAGCTTAGGATCATTCTAAAACTTCGTCTTATGACCACCTACCTCCCTGTGAGATCAAGAGCCTATTAGCTTACAGCGCTAATGATTTACTTATATATTATTTTTAATTATTTGTATGTGTATGCGTGTGTGTGTAGGGGTGTGTGTGTACATTTGTGCAGGTGCCCATGGAGGCATCAGATTCCCATAGAGCTGGCCTTGCAGGCAGTTATAAACCACCCAACATGGTGCTGGGAATTGAACTCTAGCCCTCCCAACAAACAGTGCATGCTCTTAACTGCTGAGTCATCTCTCTGGCCCCATGTAATTTTTTTTAACCATGAAATATATTTATAGGACAGGTTCCTCCATTCCCAGCTTAATTTACCCAAACTCGCAAAGTTAGTAAAGAAAAAAAAAAATCAAGATTTCAAAGATCTAAAGTTGGAAATGTTGGTGTAAACTTGTAATCTCAACACTTTGGAGGCTGAGACAGAGTACTATGGGTTTGAAGCTGGTCAGAGCTACATAGTTCGAGGCCAGCTTGGGCTACTGAGCAAAACTCTGTC